ACCCAGCTTCCCGCCCTATGACGTTCGGACACTTCACTTCGTGGCATGCGGACGACCGTGGCTACTATTCAGGGCCCCGCGGCCGACGACGACGGCGTGCGCGCGCGAAGAAAACACGACCCGCATGGTATTATTTGACAGGGATGATGGCCCTGGCAGGTGCGCAACCGTTGTTGCAGAAGTTCGAAAAAGTTGCTCGCAAAAGCCCGTTTGATAGAAATGTTTAAAAAATGTTGGGTTTCCTACGAATCCGCAAGAGCGCGCGGGATGAAATTTTGACATTTTTTTTTTCAAAAACCATTGGTTTTTTGATGGTTTTATGTTAAATTCGCTACGAAAACTAAGGTTTTGGAAGGATTTCGTCTTGCGCGCGCGAATGTTCACTTTTTTTTTTGTTTGCAAGGGATTCTTGAAGTTTGGTTATGTTAGAACAAGAAATGTCCACTTTAGCTCATTTTTTGCAAGGGAAAGCGGGCGTCAACAAAACAACCGGATCCGGACACCCACGTTTTGCCTGAGATTTCCTCACGAAAATGATGAAAATGTGGCTGCGGCCTAGGCGCGGCGGGGGGGGCGCGCACCAGGGGCCTCAACAATAATTATTCTTTAGAAGAAATAATGTTCAACAACAACAACAACACTTGCAGCAACACCAACATCAACAACAACACCAACAACAACGACAACAATCTGCACCGCAGAAACTCCCTTCAGTCACGCGCCCAGGGATATTGAATGACCCTTCGGCCCCCTCACTCTGACTGAGGAGATGAGGAGTTGCGGGGGGCAGGGAGAGAGAGAGAGAGAGAGAGAGAGAGAGAGAGAGAGAGAGAGAGGGGGGGAGGGGGACGGAAGGGGCAAAAAGGATCAAATTGATCGTGGGCGTCCCCACAAGGGCCAGATGCTGTCCGATAGCGCTCGCGGCTACCTGACGCAGGTGGCCGCCAAGCTGGAGACGAATGCGCGCACCAAGCTCTTCTTGCTAACGGTGCCAGAGTTCTCTGCGGCCGACGGCGCAGACGTAGAGAGGACGTTCATCCTCTGTCTCCAGTTTCTCATCCTCCAACTCCTCTCTCAACTCCTGCTCCTCGTCGCTCTGTTTTCGCTTCGATGCTGACATTCGCATCAAGCCACGCTTGTTGCGCTGGATGGGAAGCAGCCTCTAGGGGAGCAGCCTATCACACACGCGCCAACAGGGTTGACGGTTTTCGTTTGACGTCCAGTAATGTTCCGTGCATTTTACCAATTGGTTCATGAACTTGGCGCGAGCCGATGGGGATGTTTCCCATTCTTTTGAGAAGTGCATCGGGGCCCGCGTAGCTTAGCAGTACTAGCATGGTATAGCAGATCATGTTCTAGTATCGAGTGGCACATCTCTGCATACTATCGTGTTCCGTCGCAGTACAACATGGCATAGCATGGCATCGGTGGTTGGGAAGTGGGAGATCTTGGGGGGTGTTTGGCCCTCTTTTGACCGCTTTGGGGCCCTCTTGGGCCGCCTTGGAGCTCTCTTGGGCCGCCCTTGATCTCTTATGGGCCGTCTTCACCCCAGTGCTTGCACCATGCAGACTGCTTGAAGTGCATTGCACCACGCATGTTGTATCATAATATATATATATATATATATATATATATATATATATATATATATGCGTGACGGGGGCGAACGGTCATTCACTGCCTCTGGGCGCGTGGCTGAAGTGAGGTTCTGCGGTGCGGATTGTAGTTGTTGTTGATGGTGATGGTGTTGTTGTTATTGTTGCTGCTGTTGCTATTGCTGTTGCTGTTGTTGTTGCTGCTGTTGTTGTTCAAAAGGGCACATTGGGGGCCAGTTGCTCCCCCCACCACCACCACCACGCAGAACAACGCACAACGCCGGGAGAGCCCGAAGGGGCTCCGTGGCGTTGCGCGTTTTTACGCCCTGATAGGCGCGCCCCTCACGAGGATCGTGGCCCCATAGGGAGGGAGCTCCACCGATGGCCCCAGTGGCAGAGTCCGCATGCGTCCCCCAGCCCATAGGCATACCTCTTACGATGATCGTGGCCACATAGGGAGCTCCACCGAAGGCCCCAGTGACATGATCCGCATGCGTCCCCCCGCCCAGTTCGGCACGCCCCTCACGAGGATCGTGGCAACATAGGGGGCTCCACCGAAGGCCCTAGTGGCATGGTCCGCATGCGTCCCCCCGCCCATTTCGCCGCACCCCTCACGAGGATCGTGGCCACAGGAAGCTACTCCTACACCTACAACTACAACAACAATCATTTTACCCTCACGCGCGATGTTTCCATACGAAGCAAGCGACCATCATGATAACCATCCCCATCATGGGGGAGTATTGTTTTATAGCGGGGTCAGTTATTCCCATTCTCAGATCTCCCGCCCAATGAGATCTTGCAATCACTTCCCCCGTGGAATTATAACATTTCGCGTCGACAACGCATGCCCGCGCCTTGCTGCGCCGGTGCGAGACCGCCAGTGGAGCCCCAGCCAAAGGTAAAGCACAAGGAAGTATCGAGCGACAGGATTGCCTTGGTGGGGATGGGGGCTGTCGGCGGCGAGGCAAGGACCTGGCCCTGAATATAGAGGGAGGAAATCTCGAGCAGGGCCGCTGTTGTTGCTGGGAGCGGCGCCAATGCAGTCAACGCACCCCTTCCGCACCACCATGATTTTGCCCTGCTTGCTCTCTCTCCTTGCCCGCGCTGTCCGCCTGCTGTACTGACTTATTCTGCTCCCGCAGCTATATACTTTGGCTCTAGGGAAACGGAAAAGGAGCGAGCCTGCGGCGCGCGCGCGTGCGTCGGCTGGCGGGCCGGCTCCTCCCTTCAGTGCTATTTTAGTGTATGTTTGACGGCACGATCCCTTCTTATCCACGTCATCTGCGGAGCCCACTGACCGTGAGATATCATCGGAACATATTGCAGGGATTACGAATATCCAGGCAAAAGACGGGTTATCGGCCGAAACGACGGCACAGCCGTTCGTTTCGCAGAGCATGGGATCTCAAGAAGGAACGCTCGGGCGAACGGAGGATCGAATACCTTCCGAGCGTAACACAAGCATCAGCGCCTCAGCGAGGCGACAGAAACCTCTTAATATTCCCAGCAAGAAAGCATCATAGACTATGATCGATTTAACAGAAAGGGATTCCGTTTGACTCAGTGACAAGATCCAGAGGGCAACGCTCGAGCGGAAGGTCTGGCACAGCCAGAATTTCCGACGCGGGACCCTCTGATTTGGTGTCGATACACCCTGGTTTTCGGCCATCGATCGACTTAGATTTCGAAATGGAGAAGTTGTTGGATCATATCCCCATCGAGACATCAGGCGCTGAAAGTCTGGGCGCCGAGCACGCAGCGCAATATACGTTGGTTTTTCTTTCGCTGACTGGCTTGAGGACGGTGCAGGAAAAAGGGGAGGACGCAGACGACGACTGACGGAGACGACGATTCGAACAGACAAACCCCTCGCACACGCCGACCGGGTGGTGGATGTATATATATATATATATATATATATATAGACATTTTGCGCCACTTAGTTTGCACCACAAGTGCTGCTTCACATTCCAATGCCATCCCATATGCTACTCTTGGCATCGCTCGGGCGTGTGCATTTTCCCTTCGGCGAGGACCATCGAGGAGTATCCTCGATCATTTAGCGAAAAAGCCGCGCACGAAACCGGAAACAAACACAGGGAATGCACGTCCGAGCGATGGCGAGCACTCCGCGTGCACTGCAGCACGCAGGTTGCACCGCATACCCTGCACCACGTGCGCGGCAGCCGACAGGGGGCAGTACCTCGGGCGTCGCGTAATGGGGGGTCATAAGTGGGGGGGTGACGAGGGTGGTCCGGAAAGGTACCCGAAGGGTACCTAGACGAGCCCCTTTGGGCTCCAGAGGAGCCCGAAAAGGGCAGGAAAGGGGACCGTTTCCGACCCCCCCATCTATGACCCTCCAATTGGAGGCGGGGGGGGGGGGGGGGAAAACACCGACACAAGTAAACGGCGGCTTGCATAAATTATGGGAAAAGATGGGAAGTGGGGGGGGAAAACAAAAATCCAGAACATATGGGAAAATATGGGGAATCCTCTTATTTGTGTCTATTTATTTGTCTGTCCCAGGGCCCCTTCACATTCAGCCGCGCCCACGGAGCACGCACAGCGCGCGTGCACGCTCCCGGCCTCGGGGCCCGCGGCCGGCCACGAGGACGCAGTTCCTGCGCACCATGCGCCTCGGCCTGGGCATCGATTCGCAGAGCGTGCTGCTCGTGGCCGACCGGCGCTCCCGCGCTGGGCCGCTGCAGGCCCCGAGGGGGGCACGGCGGGGATCGAGGGCCCCCAGACGGTGTGGTGCCCACGCCGTGCGGTGAGTCGGTGGGGGTTCGGGGTCACCGCACGGCTCTGGGGCTCGAGTCCCTCTCCGAGGACGTCTCGGGCGATGGGGGCCTGCGGGGTGCCAAGACCGTGCGGTGAGGTCTGGGGGGGGAATTCAAAAATAGTCGGAAAATAGTCTGGGCACTGTTTTTTGAACATTTTGGGGGCATCTTTTCTGAGCATTTTTTGAGTATTTTCCATTCTTCGTCCAAAAACCCCCTGTAGGGGGACAGGCCCGACCTAAGTCTTGGGGGACGTCGAGGTCACCGCACGGTCTGTCACCGCACCGTTTTGGGACTCCAAAGGGGAGGCGGGGGCGCAGTCGAGGAGGCTCTGGGGCAGGGCGCGTCACCGTCGAGGCGACGCCGGGTTCGCCGTCGGATGGGCCGGGTCAGACGCTTGGCCCTGGGCCGCTCGGCTGCTCCCGATCTCGCGGGGAGGGCGAGGGGAGAGGGGGGGGAGGAGGGGGAGGAGGGGGAGGAGGAGGGACGAGGAGGGACGTGGAGGAGAAGCGACGAGGAGGGGGAGGGAGGAGTAGGACGGGAGGGAGGAAGAGGAGGTGGAGGAGGAGGAGGAGGAGGAGGAGGAGGAGGAAGAACAAGCATACGTCATGACGTGGGGGGGAGGACGAGCGGCAGTAGCAGGAGAACGATCAGGGGTGCGAAAGAGAGGAGGAGCAGCATGAGTGAGAGCAGCAGCAGGGAAAAAGGGGGGGCGCGGCGCCCGAAGTGAGCAATGTCTCCCTGGGTGCGGATCTGCATAGATTCCACATTCCACGACCTCTGCCGCAATGATTATGCTTCGAGCGATCCCCACCGAAACCTTCGACGTTTGATTCCGAAGGTGCGCGCGCATTTCATTGTCATGGTGTGTTATGTTATGCTCTGCGATGTTGTCTTGTGAGGTGTGGTGTAATGTCGTGTTCTGCACGGCAAGCTTTGCCATCGCTCACGGAGTTGATATGTTTTGCTATATGACATCATCTGACGCCGCGCTCTGTCATGTCATGCTGTGTCATGGTATCGAATGGTGTGTGCTGCGATGCTGTGTTGTGGTGCGGTTTGTTCAGTCATGGTACACCATATGAATATGTGATATAACACTGTGCAATGTTGCGTTATGGTATGTGATGATATGTCAAAGTTTGTGTAAGACTATAAGACTATATATAGTAGCATGCCATGTGTTGTTGATGCGATACGATTTGATTTGCCCTGGTATGTAATGATATGGCATGGTATGTGCTGCTATGTTCAATTAGGTGTTGATGCATTATTGTGTGCTTGCGTTGTCGTGTTATGTAATGAGATGTGATGTGGTGCGCTGATGTGGCATGCACTGCTCTGTCATGGTATGTGGTGTTACGATGTGGTTTGTCATGGTGTGGTATGTTGCACTCAGGTATGTTATGTTCGGTGGTGTGGCGTGGTGCTCTGCTCCGTTATGTGGGGGGCCTGGGGATCTTCGGCCGCGGCGCGCAAAGTGGGCGAGTCGGCGCGGGGGCGGGATCATCCCGGATCATTGGGGGCCCGGGGGCCCGGTGGCCGCGGCGCGCACGGCGGGGGGGGCGGGGCCGCCGGGGATTATCGGGGGCCCGGGGATCTGGCGGCCGCGGCATGCAGGGCGGGGGGGGGCGGGGCCGCCAGGGATTATCGGGGGCACGGGGGCTTGGCAGCCGCGGCGTGCAGTGCGGGGGGGGGGGGCGGGGCCACCGAGTATGGTCGGGCGTCTAGGGATCAAGCGGCCGCGGGGCGCAGGCGGGCGGGCCGGGAGGTGCGGCCCCAACCTGTCTGGCGGGAAAAAGATTTGATCATGGCGAGGGAACAAGATCTCATCCTCGGGGCTTCCAACTGCGCGCGAAAGTTATGGAACCTAGCCCGCGCCATTTCCATTGAAGGGCCATGGCCGACGAGTGGCTCATAATATTGAACAAGAGTGGTCTTGCCGTCCCTGTTGGCGAGATGGAGCGGCGCCATGCATGCCCAGCGCATATCGGCGCGTTTCGCGCGAGACGCGCTATTCTGCCGTGTAGAGACCGCGCGGTAGGATTCAAAGTGCTTAGCGCTTGGATTTTTTTGGTCGCAGTTGCACGGGCGAAGTAGTCCATGGGATCCGCAAGGCCTGGCGAACTTGAGTTGCACATGCGAATGCAGTGGCAATCCGCGAGGTTGGTCCTCGCAGGCGCTTTAGACCATTGTGTCCGCCGTGTCCTCGGATACTATTTGGGAAGATTGCGCCTCGCAGCCTCCGTCCTGAGCAAGGCATCCAAATGCCGCTATCCGATGTTTAGAAGAAGATTTCGCCCCCCAGTGGCAGACGCTGCAGCTGAACATATGACGACTGCCATGTCTATCGTCTCCGAATTGCAACAGGCGCGAGATTGAGGCCAGGACACAATCTTGTCGCCGCCTGTCACATGTCTGGGCTGGCCACCTCCAACCTCTCGGCGTGGCCTCTAAGGACAGAGTCGCCGATCGTGTGTCACGTTACCACGATCGCACGTGGATGTCATCCCATGGAGAGATGGCTCGGGTCCCAAATGCATCACAGCACTGCCGGGATCTGGGGATGGAAGCGCAGCCAAGATTGGCCCGCCTTACCTGGCCGATAGCGTTTCTAGAGGGATGGTCATTGAGCGTGGCTTGAGTGGGGTCATACACTCAGATATATGTTGCTTCTGCCCTGCATTCAGTATAATGTGCGCCGTCGGTCCCTGGTTGCATTCAGCATGACGACTACGAAACTGCACGACACGTCACGACATGTCGTCATTGTCGTCGCCCCCTGGTACTGCAAGACACTTACGCAGCCCCCCCTCTGTCATCCGCAAAAGGCTGTCGCCGTCGTCGTCCCGCGGGACCGCAAGACGCCAACGCAGCATCCCCCTTCCAGCAGGCCATCCGCAACGGGCCGTCGTCGTCGTCGTTGTCGTTGTTGGCAGTCTTTCGGAAGTGCAAGACACCCACGCAGCGCACCCCATTCTGTCATCCGCAATCCGTCTTCTTCGTCGTCGTCGTCCGCCGTCGCCCCAGGACGCACCCGCAGCCCCCCCCCCATGCCATCCACAGCCTGCCGTCGTCGTGTTCGCGGCCGTCGTCGCCCGTCTGTCGTCGCCACCCCGAGTGTATGACGCCCGCGCCAAGGGGGCGCGAGGTGGCTTCGACCACTCCGATCGGGGGAGCGTAAGACCCGGGTTTGCCAGGACTCGGGTTCGCCATCGTTTTTTGACGACCGCGCCTCGGATTTTGACGAGGAGGAGTTTCGTGGGATGTCTGCAGCGGGAGGCCTCGTCAAAATGCAGGCTCGGCCTCGTCATTTTTGACGACCTCGTCGGGGATTTCCGAGTCCCCTGTACCCAGGTCTTACGTCCCCCTGATCCGAGTAGGCGCCCCCGCCGCTCCGATGTGTCAGCCCTCGGGCCTCCCCCGGCCTCTCCTGTGGGCCGGGGGGCCATCCCGAATATTGTCGTCCCTCGGTGGGCCGAGCTCCCTGGCCTGCCCTCTACGGGGGCCACGGGGCCGGCGAAACTATGTGTTCAATCGTCCCCTTAATTTTGAGCGGGCCTGTCCCTCGAAAGGAGGAAAATTCCAAAATAGTCCATAAGAATAATCTGGGAACGAATGTTTGATTTTTGTTTGGCCATTCGGGTCGCATGTTCTGCGTATTTCTAATTTTTCGTCGAAGATCCCCCTGTAGGGGGACACGCCCGACTTAACCTTAGTTTTAAGGAACCATTCCCCGCCATTAAACCATCTGCGCCCAGACGACAGGACGGAGGAGGGCACGGATGGCGGAATGCGCCTGGGAAGTCCACCAATCGCGAAGGTGAGCGTCGGGGACCAGGTGTCTCCCGCCGTGAGCAAGGAGTTCGTCGCCAGCGTGCAAAGGACCCCGCAACCTTAGCGAAGTTGTTGTCCAGAGCCGCCCCCCACCACATACTGTATATTTTGGCTCCCCGTCTCGCCCCGTTCGTGACTCGAGAGGCTCACGCCGTTCCGCCAATCCCCAGATGAGAAGATGCGCGGTTTCCGACATCCTTTATTGTGTGCTGTTAGCCACGTCCCGTCGTGCTGCCTGCGTGCAGTTGTTTCTGGTAAGTTCCCTTCTTCCTCCGCGTCTGCTGCGGGGGTTCGAGAGCCTTTTAGGGGCTTCGGGGGCGCCCTCTGGGGGTCTCTTGGGGGCATCTCGGGCGAAGCATGCGCGGCTTGGGCCATGTTGTGGGGTTCGCTCTCTTGGGCCTCTCCGGCTCCACTTCGGGCTTTCTGAAGTATCTTGTTGGATGTTCCAGGGGCCCTTTGGGCAGTCTCGGGGCCTTCTTTTTCTGGGGGGGGCTCGTCTTGGCCCAATCGAGGGGGCGTTCTCGGGCCGTCTCGTGGTTCAGAACACCGAACTGGCGAGAGTGCGAACGTCGTTGAAACACCAACGGGACACACGCACACACACATACACATACACATACACATACACATACACATACATACATACATACATACTACATACATACCTACATACATACATACAAACATGCATGCATACATACATACATACATACGTACGTACGTACGTACGTACATACATACATACATACAGGCACACATGCATGCATACATACATACACACACACACGTACATGCATGCATGCATGCATACATACATGCAGACATACATACATACATCAAAGGGGGTAGTCGGCCGTCTCGTGGTTCCGAACACTGAATTGGCGAGAGTGCGAGCATCATTGGCAAGCCAACGGGAACACATACACACGTACATGCATACATACATACATGCATGCATGCATGCATGCATGCATGCATGCATACATTGATACATACATACATACATGCACGCAGACACACACACACATACATACATACATACATACATACATACATACATACATACATACATACACATATTTGCATATACACACAACATTCATGCACACATACAGGCATGCATCCAAACATACAGACATACAGACATACATACAGATACACCCATGCATACATACATGCATACCTGCAAACATACATGTATGTACATACATACATACACACATACATACATGCGTACGTACGTACGTACATGCATGCATCTATACATACATACACCTGTATGCATGCATGCATACATACATACACAAGTACGCACGTATGTACGTACGTGCGTGCAGCTTTACCTACATACACACATACATACAATCCAGTCCAACCCAATACAAAACACTACAATACATGCATGCATGCATGCATGCATGCATGCATGCATGCATGCATGCATGTATGTGTGTGTATGTACGCATGTCTACATACATGCATGCATACGTACGTGCGTACATGCATGCATTCTGGCATACATGCAGACAGGCAGGCATACATACGTGTGTGCTTATATACATCTATGTACATACACATGTACATACGCAAACTGTGTTGGCATCTTGAGGCCGGCGTGTGCGTCTGTTCGGGCCTTCTTCAGGCGATTTCCAGGCTTCCCGAGCCGTCTTGAAGCAATGCTGAGTGTGTTGAGGCCTCGCTGGCGCGTTGAAGCCCTTCTTGAGCTGTCTCAGATGACATTCTGGACAGTTCGGCGGCCGCGGGTACGCATTTGGAGGCTCCGAGGACCAACGAGGTGCACCAGGGAGCTCGTTCACCCGCCCCCCTCCCCCCCTGCACGCCCACCCCTCTAACGACATTTTGGACTCCAGGGGAGGGGAAAGGAGGGAGGGGGGACAGCCAAGTGTTAAGCACGCCTGTTCACCCCCAGCCCGCGGGTGTCGGTGGATCTGCTATTGCTCTTGATCTCTCGATGCCCCTCACCCGCTATTCCCGCCGTCGGTTTTGATAGAAGGGCCCGTGGAAAGTTTCATCGACGATCGTGCCGCGCACGAAGGACAAACACATGTATCACCAGTTACGGTCGGACCGAGGTATAAGGTCGAGGTCGGTTCGGGGAGGGTACCATAATGTCCTTCGTGCTTGTTAGATGTTCTTGTGCATCCTGGGGGAGGGCACCCTCGAATGTTTGTCAGTTTGGCCAACGGAGGGTCACATGTTCTTGAAGGATGTTCTTCTGTCCTACATTCAAAACGCAAAGTAAGGGTAATATAATTCCCAGGGTTACCCTTGCATCCTTCCCCTTCAGCCCAACCTATGCCGCTTTCGTTGGCCGCGCCCCGCTCGCAAAGTAACGACGTGGCCTTACAAGGCCCTTGCATCCTTATCGTGCGTCCCTATGATACGGGTTGACTGTAGGTCCAGCCGTATCATCGATATAGTAGTGGTAGCGGAGCAAAGGTTCCTCGTGGAGCCTTTCGGAGCGCCGTGCCGCATTCCGTACCCACTTCGCCGGTGTTTGCATCGAAGTACCCCCGAGGGCCCCCCAGGGCTTTCCAGTACCCCCCACTGCCCCCCAGTGCCCCCCAGTCCACTCCAGTGCGCCCCAACACGTCCCAGTACCCCCCAGTACTCCCCATCACCCCCAGTACCCCCCAGTACCCCGAAATACTCTCCATTGCGCCGCAGCACCCCCCAGTACCTTCCAGAACCTCCTGGACCCCCCCGCACCCTCCAGCACCCCCCAGCACCCCCCAGGGCCCCCCAGGCCCCCCCCAGTACCCCCCAGCACCAGCCGAGCGGTTCCCGTACACATCTCACGTTGGTGATGACAGTAGTTCCGTTGTACGTCCTCGGGTATTTGAGGCCGGTTGTGCCGCCCATCAGCACAAACACAACGTTTCCGACCTGTTAACGAGGTGCCTGCATTGCCGACTGCGCCGGCCACATCTACCCCGACTCTTTCGGGGATGGTTGTGCCGTGGACGTATGCTACGATAAATCTGGCTTCGTTAAACTGGCAGTACCGCCAGATTTCATATCGAATACATTGGTTACATAGAGGTTGGCCGCGCCGCCCACATTAACGATTTGATGTTCACCAACATGATCGGCAATAGTCATTCGGACATTTGAACCAGATCAAGTTGGAGTTTCGACCAAGCGCGATGGAGATGTTACATTATGGATGCCAACTTGTGGAAACTCAGAGATACGTGGAATTTCCGCAACGATTGGCACCACATCGATCGCGCAAGTTACAGGGGGCGGCTCGGCCAGCAACGCGCAAAATGGAGGCACGCGGGGTTCACCCGCCCAGACACGACAAATTGGAGATCTCATCATAGTGGAAAGCTGACGGAACTGCTGAGGGATCGACAACGCGCGCGCACGCCCCCGCGGTTGCTCGAACAGTGGAGGTCAGTGCAGCAGGCCGATGCGCTTGAGTCGCAGTCGACGACGGGGCGATCTGAGACGAGACGAGGCGAGCGCATGACAGGTCGCCAGGTTCGAGACCCGAACACGCTCGACGACGCGGCAGGCTGGCCCCTGCAGCCCACGAGCAGGCTCAAGGCAGAGCGACACGAGCACGCCATTGGCAGCATGCCCCACGAGCATTGCAGCTTGGCTCGCGCCCGAGGCCCGGCGGCGCACTTGCGCGTGCGCGGGAGAGAATTCGTGCCACCCGCCGCTGCGATTGCTGCATTCATCTCCCACATCCACGTCGGTCGGGCCAGACATGTCACCATCATTGCGCGGAGGGCGCTCCGCCAACTCGGTGGAAGACCCCGCAGAGGACGAGGGCGACGACGACGGTCGCCAGGGCCACGCCGACGACAGACGTGCGCTCAATGCGTTCAGCGCGGGGTCCGAGGAGCAGGGCGCGGACGTCGCGAAGTTCCCGGCAACGACGACGCAGCGCTGGTCGAGGCGGCGGCGGCGCCCGGCCATCGCCGCGCAGGCCGAAGCCGCGGGCCCGCGTGAATGCAGGCATCTGGCCATGAGAATGATCACGGCCGACGAGCGCGAGCTTCCATCGACGCAATCTGGGGGGGGGGGAAATTGGAATCATAATTTCGCATTGCGCACGTGTCATGTCATTTGCGCACATGTCATGCCCCAGACAGCCCCGAGCAGTCACATGGCGCAGCGCGCGCGCGCCGAGCCGACGTGCGCGACAAACTCGGTTTAAATTCTGCGCCGCTTGGATCGCGCCTGGGCGGCGGCCCTGCTGCGCCCCTAATTTAGTAAAGAGTGGCGCGCCCGAGTGTCCGACCATCCGACCCGAGCGAGTGCCCGATGGGTCTCAATTTTTCTCAATTGTCATAGGTGGTGCAAATTCACGCGCCGAGTGCACCCCGATGGCGGTCTAAAGCGGCCTCATAGGTCTCGGAGCCGAGCGCGCCCGCGCGTATTGCAGCTTCTCACAGCGACGCGAAACCCACGGCGCCGAGCGCACGCGCGTACTTCGCGCAGTCTGAGAGTGCTCCGAAACCATGCGCGCCGAGCGCATCCGCGCGTTTCACTGAGTCTCAGAGCGCCGCGAAACCCGCGACGCCGTGCGCACCCGCGCGTCTCGCGCGGACTCGCAGCGACACATAAACTCCCGACGCCGAGCGCATGCGCGCTTAGTGCTCCGAAACCCGGCGCGCCGAGCGCGTCCGCGCGTTTCATTAAGTTTCAGAGCGCCGCGAAACCCGCGGCGCCGAGCGCACCCGCGCGCCTCGCGCGGTCTGACTGCGACAGTAAACTCTCTGCGCAGAGCGCATCCGCGCGCTTCGCGCGGTCTCAGAGTGCTCCGAGACCTTGCGCCCGGCGCATCCGCGCAGTTCAGCAAGTTTCAAAGCGCCGCGAAAGCCTTGGCGCCGAGCACATTCGTGCGTCGAGCGCGGTCTCACGGCGCCGCGAAATCTTCGGCGCCGAGCGCATCCTCGCGCTTCACATTGTCTCTGAGTACTCCGAGACCTTGGGCGCCGAGCGCATCCGCGCGCCTCGCGGGGTCTCTCGGCGCCGCGAAACCCTCGGTCCCGGGCGCGCCCGCTCGTCTCACGCGGTCTGACAGCGACAATAATTTGTCGGCGCCGAGCGCAGCCGCGCGCTTCACGCGGCCCCAGCATCCGCGCGTTTCACTGAGTCCCAAAGTGCCGCGAAACCCTCGGCTACGAGCGCGCCCGCGCGTCTCGCGCGGTCTCGAAGCGCCGCGAAATCTCCCGCGCCGAGCGCTTCGCAATTCCGAAACCTTCGGCACCGAGCGCATCCGCGCGTCTCGCGGGTCTTCACGGCGCCGCGAAACCCTCGGTCCCGGGCGCGCCCGCTCGTCTCACGCGGTTTGACAGCGACCTTAAATTTTCGGCGCCGAGCGCATCCGCCCGCTTCACGATGTCTCAGGGCGCTCCGAAACCTTGCGCCCAGCGCACCCGCGCGCTTCACTAAGCTTCAAAGTGCTGCGAGGGCCTTGGCGCCGAGCGCGCCCGCGCGTAGAACGCGGTCTCGCAGCGCCGCGAAATCTTCGGCGCCGAGCGCATCCGCGCGCCCCACGCGGTCTCTGAGTACTCCGAGACCCCGGGCACCGAGCGCATCCGCGCGCATCGCGGGGCCTCGCTGCGCCGCGCAACCTTCGGCCCCGAGCGCGTCCGCGCGCCACGCGGCGAAATCTTCGACGCCGAGCGCATCCGCGCGCCTCGAGCCCTCTCGGGGAACCCTTAGGAGCCCTGGGACGCCTCTTGGGGCCATCTTGGAGGCCATCGATCAACGGGGGGGGTCCAATGCCCCCCCTGGGGCCATCAAAATCACCGAAATGGGCTCAAAACATTGGTATAATCAATGACTTTGGCCTTCTCGCCAAGACCATCTTGGACGCTCTAACGGCCCGCGGGCCCCCCGAGCAAAAACCCAGGAAGGGAGAGGGGGGGGGACCTACCGGAAAGAAATATGTTTTCGGAAGAGGAAAGGAAGCTATCGTTTGGTCACCTTGGCCCAGTGGGCTGTGGGGATTGCTTCCCCCAAAACCGTCAGGATTCCAGCCGACGCCGACAATGACGCGTTTCGACCGTCGGAATAGCGCTTCGGCAGACGAGAGGGAAACCTGCGCGCGCGTTGCGGCGGGCCGGGCTTGCTCGCGGCAGCCGAGACGGAGGGCGGCGCGTAGCGTCGCTGGACGTGGGGAGGTCGATGGTCCGGGGCCCACACATGCGCCGCCAGCGCGGCCTGCTTTTGTTAGCTATGCAAGTTGATTGGGCTACTGTTTCGGCGGTGGATAGCAAGGCGTGCCGAATCACGCGACGACCGCAAGTCGTTTGCGCGGCCCCATTTGGGCGCGCGGCTCCCTGCGCAGAAAACGACCCATTAACGTTGTGCATTTTGAGGGTTGGCTTATCAAGCTTAAATTATGGTAAGGGGGCGTTGTTTTGAATGCCCCCCTCCCCCCGGATGACACTGGAGTATTTGGCAGCATGTATTCTCGACCGAACGAGGCCGCCATCTGCGTGCATGACCACGTGACATGTATGTTCGCTTGGCGCGGGCAGACAATGACGGCCCCTGTCTGGGCCGTCGCGCACATGTTTGCGGAGCCCCACCAGCCCATCCAGAAAGGATGTCCAGACGAGATTCTTCGATCAGGGATATGGAGGAGAACGCAGTGGAATAAAGGGCTGGGTAAGACGTCTGTCATACCCAAGAGGAGGAGGATGGAGGAGGAATCGGAGGAACGGGAGCAGGGAGATGGGGCCGGGGAGGAGGGAGGAGGGAGGAGGAGGATTGCGGGTGAGGAAGAGGAGGGGGGGAGGAGGAGGAGGAGGAGGAGGAGGAGGAGGAGGAGGAGGAGGAGGAGGAGGAGGAGAGGAGGAGAGGGAGGAGAGGAGGAGAGGAGAGGAGGAGAGGAGGAGAGGAGGAGAGGACGCGAGGAGGCGAGGAGGCGAGGAGGAGAGGAGGAGAGGGAGGAGAGGAGGAGAGGAGAGGAGAGAGGAGGGAGGAGGGGAGGAGGAGGAGGAGGAGGAGGAAGAGGAGGAGGAGGAGGAAGGAGGAGGAGGAGGAGGAGGAGGAGGAGGAGGAGGAGGAGGGAGGAGGAGGAGGAGGAGGGAGGAGGAGGAGGAGGAGGAGGAGGAGGAGGAGGAGGGAGGAGGAGGAGGAGGAGGAGGAGGAGGAGGAGGAGGGGGAGGGGGAGGGGGAAGAGGGGGGGAAGAGGGAGGAGAGGAGGAGGAGGAGGAGGGAGGAGGAGGAGGAGGAGGAGGAGGAGGGAGAGGAGGAGGAGGAGGCGGAGGGGAGGAGGAGGAGGAGGAGGAGGAGGAGGAGGAGGAGGAGGAGGAGAGGAGGAGGAGGAGGAGGAGGAGGAGGAGGAGGAGGAGGAGGAGGAGGAGGAGGAGGAGGAGGAGGAGGAGGGGGAGGGGGAGGGGAAGGCAGGGGGAGGGGGGTAGGAGGGGGAGGGAGAGGGGCAGGGGGAGCCTGTTGGGGCCTCTCGGGGGGTCCATTGGGAGACTCTTCTTGGAAACCTCTTGAAGGCTTCCTGGGGCTTCCTGGGGCCTCCTGGGCGCCTCTTGGGGCACTTTCGGGAGCCATCTTGGAGCCATCTTGGAGGAGACTGATCAAAGAAGGGAGGCTCAAGTAGGCTCCGCCCCCACAAGGCCAACATAGGCCCAATTCCCAAGGAAACTCAATGATTTGTGCTTTCTCTCCGAGGCCATCGTGGACGCTCAAACAACCCGCGAACCCCCCCCACCTTCAGACCCAGGGGGGGAGGGTAATTCCCTCCTCGAAGCGGACGGAGGGGGCTGGAAGCGGAGACCCGTTGAGCCAGTTGCGCCCTAAAAGGGTTGGTGCAACTGCCGCCTGGTGGCGGCGTATGTCTGCGGGCACCGGAGATGCCGGAAACTGGAGCATATACATTACCAGTGGCGGGCGGTTTTCAATCCCAGGACTTTTTTGAGGTTCGGGGACGACGCTGGGGTGGTGTGGTGTATACTTCTTCCCCCGTTTTCCCACGGAAAGAACGAACAATGTATACACCAGGATCCCGTGTACACCAGAAGCCGCGCTCCTGTGCGAATTTCGGCGCAGGGTCGGGAAAATCGTCGGTGTATAGAGTTCGTTCCCCTAAGATCAAGGGCGCCCTCGAGGGCGCGAAGTTATTCTCGCTTCGCGGTTCGGCTCCGATTCTTCCTCCTCCTCCTCTTCTCCCCTGGGAGGCGGCGCGAGAGCGCGAAGTTGGGAGCCCTTGAAGATGGGCCAGCCCCACCCCTCCTTGCCCGCACTGCCCCGTCCAGGTTGAAGATTCCCGGTGCGCGGCCCCGCGGGGGAGCGGGGCGCGGGGCCGTGCACGCGCCCCGCCCGTGCGGGCTGCAGGGGGGGGGGGGTCGGGGCGCGGTGCCGCCGCGAGCGGTGCTCGCCACCAGTGGCAGCCACTTCCCTCGATTAGGGGGCCACGTGCGAACCCTACCCCTACCCCCCACGATCTTTGAGAGGGGGGGTGGGGGTTCACTTCGCGCGGGAGCGCCCGAGCGAAGTGAACCCCCCCCCTCCCCCTCAGAAATCGTGGGGGTAGGGGTAGGGTTCGCACGTGGCCCCCTATCGATGCTCCTCCTGCGGCTGATTTTTGGCCCGAGGATCTTGGCCTCGCTCGGACGTGCGCATTTTTTTCCCGGCGAGGACCATCGAGGACCATCCTTGGCCATCGAGCAGAACAAAAAGCGCACGAAACCGAAACACGCACGGGAAATGGACGTCCGAGCGACGGCAAGGGATTGGCCTCGCTCCGACCCGCTCGGTGCTCCGGTTTAGCGGGTTGAGCACGCCAGTCGCCACATCAGTCAAGCCGCTGCCAGTCTGAGCGATCCCACGACCGAGCTACAGAGACCTCTGGTGGAACAGAGGGGCAGGCCGGGGAGGGCAAGTCTTGGGCGACGCAATCTATACATATCCACTGCTCCCTGGCCAGGCCCATCCTGAACCCAGGAGCTGTGTATACGCCCTCCTGGCCAAACCAGGAGGGCGTGGCGTATACACAGCTGCTGTGTTCAGGATGGGCCTGGCCAGGGAGCAGTGGATATGTATAGATTGCGTCGCCCTAAAGTCAAAGGGACAGAAGGGGAAGGGAGCCAGGCTGGAGCAGCGCGAGGGCGGGGCGGGCACCCGCTGTTCGATCTCCCGAGGACGTTTGGCAGCCCCGATTTTGTGGCCAAGGCGGGCTCCGAGGGTGCGCTCAGGGCCGCATTCGAGAACCTCGCGGCCTGCATATTTCGGGCCCACGTCAGGGCGAAATGAGGGGGGGGAGCTGGGGAAAGCTGATTGGACTGCGGCAGTGTGTTTCGTATCGGTGCCCAAACCACTTTTCCTGCCATCATTGTTCTCCCGCGCTTTCGAACCATGCTCATAATCATGGGGCGATCCCCACTGCTGAGTTCGAGGGGAGTGGGCCTACGTGTCTCTGGGGCAAAGATATTCTGAGTAATCCGGGTGGTTCAATACGCCCCTCACGCCAGAAGAGTTGCCTGATGCATCCGAATGAATGCCCACATGTGGGACTATGGTACATTTGAGTGGCAGCGCCATGGCTGCCCGTTCCAACCCACAGCGCCACCAGTTGTGCATTCGAGTTTGCATGCATTGGGCGAGCGATATTTGCAGGACAGGCAACGTGCACGTTCAGTTCCGTGAGGCTGGGGAACACACATGCTTGCGGCCCCACATCGTGGCAGCCCACTGCTGTGGGTGGCGACTGTTCAGGGGGGCGCAGCAGGCCGTGACGTGTGACACCTCGTGTCTCGAGGCCTCGGGGAGCCGCAGCACGTGACACACCCTTCCGCATCGTGTCGGCGGTTCCCGTCTCGTCGCCGTCGTCGTCCATCCTCTGATTAGGTGGTGAGACACGCATCATGACTTATCATTTGTACGGTAGGAGGCGATAGAGTCAATGCACCCCTTCCGCACCACCAATCATTCGCCCTGCCTGCTCTCTCTCCTTGCGCGCGCTGCCTGCCTGCTGTACTGACTGACTACTTCTGCTTCCGCAGCTATACTACTGTGGCTCTAGGCAAACGGAAAAGGAGCGAACCTGCGGCGCGCGCGCGTGCGTCGGCCGGTGGGCCGGCCTCCTCCCTTCAATGTTACTTTAGTGTATGCTTGACGGCACTATCCCTTCTTACCCATGTCATCTGCGGAGCCCACTGACCATGAGATACTGTCGGAACGTATTGCAGGGATTATGAATATCCAGGCAAAAGATTGGTTATCAGCCGAACGACGGCGCAGCCGTTCGCTTCGCAGAGCATGAGATCGCAAGAAGGAGCGTTCGGACGAACAGAAGACCGAATACCTTCCGAGCGTAACGAAAGTAGAGGCGCCGCCTCAGGCTTACTTCTGGCCTCTGAGGCATGGGCTCTCTCGCCCTCACCGCGGCGCTTTTTGGCCAGAGCAGCTACACGAACCATTTCGTGTCCCGTCCCGGTCGTGCCGCCCTACTATTGGCCTCTGAGGCATAAGCTCTTTCGCCCTCCCCGCGGCCTACTATTGGCCAGCGCGGATGGACGGGCCATCAAGTGCCCCGCCATGGTCTTTCCACCTCAAGCTTAATATTGGCCTCTGAGGCATGGGCTCTTTCGCCTTCTCCGCGGCCTGCTATCGGCCAGTGCGGACAGACGGACCATCAAGTGCCCCGTCATGGCCAATCTACCTCAAGCCCACCCTTGGCCTCTGAGGCTTGGGCTCTCCCGCCCCCCCCGCGGCCTGCTATCGGCCAGCGCGGACAGTCGGGCCACCCAGTGCCCCGTCATTGTCAATCCACCTCGAGCCTATCATTGGCCTCTGAGGTTTGGGCTCTCCGGCCCCCCCCGCGGCATACTATTGGCCAGCGCGGACAGACGGGCCATAAAGCGCCCCGTCCAGATCTTTCTGCCCGAGGCCTGCCATTAACTTTTGTGGCGCGAACTCTCTCCACTTGGCCACAGGGCGCCCTCTACTCGGCCCCGTCCAGGTCAATCTGCTTGAGACCCCCTCGTGACCTGCGCGGCACGGGCCCTATCGCCCGCTTCGCGGTCAATCCGGACAGGCGGTCTATCGAGCCCACCACTTGCCTCTGCGCCATGGGCGCCATTGCCGTTCCCGCTCCGCCCGCGCCCCGCGGCACCGGCGCAACGCGCATCAGCGAAGGTCGCGATCAGCGCAACCACCGCGCGGCGATTCGCGCGCTTTCCCGCGACGTCCGCAGCGCGCCATTTTATTGGCAGCGTCAGCGTTGAATACGTAAAAGTAGGGTCACTTCTTGCAGCGCTGTCCGAATGGCTGGGCGCCGTGGCGGCATGGTGCGCGCGGCAAGAAATAGGGGCGGTCGAAGTCCCAGCGCAAGCGAAGGCGATAGATTCCGCACACGACCAGGAAGCCACGACTGTGAAAAAGGCGTTTTTTTCGCCACGTGCACTGACGCAGCGCAGAAGTTGCGGCCCAGTGCCAACGCGTCTGCGGAGGCCGGCGGTCGTGCCAGGCGCTCCTCCGCGGTTTAGCGCGCGTCGCGCCAGGGCATTGCGCGCGTCAATTTGGCGCGTTAAGGCCCAGTCAAGCGACCGCCCCCCCCTTTAAGTTTCGTTCAGTGCGTCGCCCGAGCGTCGCCCGTGCGCCGGCCCTGGTTTGCGTCTCTGTCCCGAATCCCGGCCTCGCAGAGTGCGTTGGCGACATAGTGCGCGACTTCGGAATTTCTCTCTGGCGATATATAGGTTTCCGACGCCGGTGCACCAGCAGCCATTTTGGCGGTCGCGGCGCTAGTTCGACGGTCCACCAACGCGTTCTGTTTCCAATTCGGCGCAAGAGGATTTGCTGGTGCGCATTTTCGGGGGCGCCAACCGTTGCTGAGGACGAAGACCCCTCGCGTTCATTGGGGGCCGCGCGCGTCGCGCCACGGTGGGGGTGACGCCACGTCGCGCGACGCGGCGCCACTTCGCCCCGTCGCATCGCGCCCCGCACCCCTATGTCGTTTCGCGCCAATCCTCCTGCCCCCCCCCCTCTTCCTTCCTCTTCCCCTCGTCCAACGCGCTGCGCGTTTTGTCCCGTTTGCGAAATTTGCATTCAGCTCTTCGGGGCAGGCTGCCGTCCTGTCCGCCTCCCTACTCGCCCCCGTTGTCCTTCCACCCTCCTGGAACTTCTTCTCGCCCTCCTCGCTCCCGCCGCCCCCCTTCGATAGCCTTCCATCGCTCCCGCCGCCGCTGCGCCGCCCCCGCGCGCCCCCTCCTCGCCCGTCCGTTCCCTTTTCCGCCCGCTCACTTCTATCCTCTTTTTCCCCCCGATGCATCGGCGGGCGAGACGTCGCCAAATTGCCGCAGCGACACCGATGTTCAAATTCTGACGGGGCGCGCTTGACATGGATTAGCCCGTGCGCGCTGCATCTCCACATCGCCCATTGGTCCCCTCGCGTTCGTTGTTCTCACGTGCGTGTCTCGCTATTTCTACGATTGCCGCGCGCATCCCTTGATTGTTTCGCAAGCGGGCCGCGCAGTTCACGCGCCGTCAGAAGTCCACGGCGCCCTTCGAGCGATTCGCGCGCGACCTGCGCGCGACGCGCGAACGGCTCGAGCGACGCACGCGCGACGCACGCATGACTCGCGCGCGACGCGCGCGCGCGACGCACGCCGACCCGCGCGCGACGCACCCCAGCCAGCGCGCGACGCACGATCGACCCGCGCGACGCACGCGCCACGCGCGCGAAGCAAGCGCGACGCGCGCGCGACGCACGCGCGACGCACGCGCGACGCATGCGCGACGCAGTCGGGACTTTGCCCGCTCCTAGCATTTTCCCGAACAGCAATGCGCAACGGCCGCCGGCCCGCCGTGCTTGCGCCGTGCACAGGTGGCGGCGGCTGCATCCTTCCTTGCGCCAGGATGGGCGGTGATTGCCATTGTTCTTCCCCTTTTCCTTCATCGTCGTCCCTCCTCTGTCGTCATTCCTCCTCCTTCGTCCTCCCTCCTGCCTCGTCTCCCTCTCTCCTCCCCTTCTCCTCCTCCTTTCTAACGGCCCCCCTCTGTCTATCCCTCCCCCCTCCTCTCCCGTCTTTGTGTTTTTCCCCCCTTGTCACCCCGTGTCCATCGTCATTTGTTCCCGACCATCCTGTGGTGTTGGGTCCTCGTTTTGAAGAGACGCCGCCCCGCGTTCCTCCTTCCTCCTTCCTCCTCCTCCCCTTCCTCTCCCCCCCCCCCCCCCCCCCCCCCTCCATTCATTCCATTCACACCCCCTCACACGTTTCGTGGCCCCATAGGGAGCTCCACCGAAGGCCCCAGTGGCTGCGCCCGCATGCGGTTCCATTCTGGCACACCCCTCACACGTTTCGTGGCCCCATAGGGAGCTCCACCGAAGGCCCCAGTGGCTGCGCCCGCATGCGGTTCCACCCCCATTCTGGCACACCCCTCACACGTTTCGTGGCCCCATAGGGAGCTCCACCGAAGGCCCAGTGGCTGCGCCCGCATGCGGTTCCACCCCCATTCTGGCACACCCCTCACACGCTTCGTGGCCCCATAGGGAGCTCCACCGAAGGCCCAGCGGCTGCGCCCGCATGCGGTTCCACCCCCCATTCTGGCACACCCCTCACACGTTTCGTGGCCCCATAGGGAGCTCCACCGAAGGCCCCAGTGGCTGCGCCCGCATGCGGTTCCACCCCCCATTCTGGCACACCCCTCACACGTTTCGTGGCCCCATAGGGAGCTCCACCGAAGGCCCCAGTGGCTGCGCCCGCATGCGGTTCCACCCCCCATTCTGGCACACCCCTCACACGTTTCGTGGCCCCATAGGGAGCTCCACCGAAGGCCCCAGTGGCTGCGCCCGCATGCTGGCACACCTCACACTTTCGTGGCCCCATAGGGAGCTCCACCGAAGGTTGCGCCCGCATGCGGTTCCACCCCCATTCTGGCACACCCCTCACACGTTTCGTGGCCCCATAGGGAGCTCCACCGAAGGCCCCAGTGGCTGCGCCCGCATGCGGTTCCACCCCCCATTCTGGCACACCCCTCACACGTTTCGTGGCCCCATAGGGAGCTCCACCGAAGGCCCCAGTGGCTGCGCCCGCATGCGGTTCCACCCCCCATTCTGGCACACCCCTCACACGTTTCGTGGCCCCATAGGGAGCTCCACCGAAGGCCCCAGTGGCTGCGCCCGCATGCGGTTCCACCCCCCATTCTGGCACACCCCTCACACGCTTCGTGGCCCCATAGGGAGCTCCACCGAAGGCCCCAGTGGCTGCGCCCGCATGCGGTTCCACCCCCCATTCTGGCACACCCCTCACACG